GTGAGGAAAGGGGTAGCTGGAAGTACTCGGAGGAATCGAACGAAGCTCCTCGTATTCGTGGAGTCCCCAGATATCGACGAGGAGAGCATCTCCATCGGTAGGTTGGGCGACTTGACCCCTTCTGATCCGTTGCATCAAGGACTTGGATCGCTTCAGTTGGGCCGCATTGGTCGCTTGACGCTCTAGTTCTCCATTTGCTCCTCGCGCCGAAGCCTCCGACCTGGGAGTATAAGCTATCCGAAACATGATAATTTTCGGAAGATCGTGTCAGTTTGAGAGGGCGAGAAGCTAGTGTGAGACTGCCAGTCGTGTTTTTTGAAAACTAACCTGATGGTACCGGTTTACCTGACTTGAGCGTTTCCTCCATGTCCCAAACACTGGCCGATTTCGCATCACGCTGTTCACGACTTGTCCCGCGCCGATGACCGAGCAGACCGCCCCCACCTGTGCTACCTTCCTCGATGGCATGTTCCATTCCGAAGTCTTCCCAGGCCTCCTTGCCTTGAATACCAAACGCTTCAGCCAGTCGGGCCGCCTTGGGGTCCGCAGCAATGGTCCCAGCTGGGTAACCCATACTGACTGGCATCGTGTTATCTGAGGCACGTCGTGGGATAGCGGGGGGATAAACGTGATCTTGTGAGGCGAGTGAGACCGGTGCAGGAGCTGAGGCGGGTGGTGGGGGTGGTAAGATGAGGGCTGAAGGATCAAAGGCAGCCATAGGGGCTTGGCGGGATGGGTTCTTAGAGTTCATGTGTCGGTTACGATGGGATGAGGCGGCATCGAAAGGACCATCATGATGGACTGGAGTAAGCAGAATATAAACACACAAGTAAGAAACTTGAGCCAGGAAAGATGACAGTACCAAAAAAAAAAAGGAAAAAGACTGACAACCACCAATAGTATCGAGGGTGTCGATGAAGTCAAGGGCACCGTGGGAGGATGATTTCTTGGGATTGCTGCCGCCAGACGCCGGGGCTTTGGTTTGCTTTCGACTGGAGTTCTGATTAGGATTCGAGGGGTGAGGTGGGCGGCGATTGGCTCTGAAAAATTCAGAAAGAAAAAATAAGATATACGTGTTAGATTCTAATGCTGAGAGTGGACCGATAGGGGGAGAAAGGACAAACCCAATGTTCTTGCGAGCCGATGGCCGTTTGTTTGCAAATGGGTCTCTGCTCTCTTGGAGATTGGTGGTGGTAGTAGACATGGTGATGATAACTTGTGATTAATAAATTCAGCTGTGATCAATGAGGTCGGAGTGCTGAGAGTTAAGGAGAGAAGGTTAATGTGTGATTATTATTATTATTTGATTGATTTGAGGGGAGAAAGAAGGGAAGAGTTCAGGATAGGTCAGTTAATACGACTATGGAGAAGTCCTTGGGCAAATCTTATAGAATAAAAAGCAGGCTGATGTGTAAATAGATATAAGAAACAAAGGAAGGGAGCTCTGCTTGGAATACGCCGGTGGGAAGAAAGGGGGCTTGTGGGTTGGGCTGAGGGTGAATGTATAAATAATCAAGAAATAATCAATGAGTTTTTTTGAAGGACTGGAGTGACGAGTCTGGAGCCAGACAGCGAATTGGGTGATATTAAGTGATACTGTATTGTATCGTAGAAGAAAGATGAAGATCGACGGAGAAGCAGAAGGTAAAAAAGAGTGTTGATGGATGGGTGAGCAGACTATGGATTTAGATTACAGGCGCAGTGGGAGAGATGAATGGATGGATAATACTCCCTCTCTCTCTCTCTCTCTGTCTGTCTGTGTCTGTATATCATCAGCATGTGCGCAGGTATCGGTTGAGGTAGGTCGGCTCGAAGTCTGAAGAGGGGCAATCAAATCTGGTGAGTCGAGGGCTGCGTTGAGAGAGAGAGAGATAACAAGCGAGCAGATTGAGGATGTAGATTGAAAGGTGGAACTGTTGACTGGTCTTTGCATATTAGGTTGTCGGGGATGATTGATAGGCTGTAGATTGGAGGATGAAGCCACAACATCTCTTGACTATACTCCATAGATTAGGCACAATTACGAATAAAATGTGATAATTGGTGTTGTGTTTTCTTTTTCTTTTTTTTGATTGTCGGAGAGTCGGAAGAGGATGGAGAAAGAGTGGAGGAGGAGCAGGAGAGCTATGTATTGTCTGGCTCGATGCAAGTTGATGGGGGTATCGAGTGAGTGGGTTGTGTTCTTTGGTAAGAAAATGGGAGTGGATCATAGTAGATAGGTATAGGAGAGCGAAGAACAGCATGGCCGAGTCGATCTACCAGACCTGGTGGATAAATATGTAGACCCCCG